ACATCAAATTTTGGAGGAATGCAACACAATTCATATTGCAGTCCTAAGTAGGAAATCGTCCAAATTATAATTGCATATTGTTATTCTAAATTGTTTCCCAAAATTGATCGCCCTGAAGATCACAAAAAACATTTTGTTAAAATTAAATATGTCAATAAAGGTTTTGATTTTGTAAATATTGCTGGTATTTTTAATGATCATTCTGTTAAAGAACAAATTCCTGGCTATTTTGATAATATTGAACTCCCTCTTATTTGTTATGTTTACAAAAAATCTACCCGGAAATATGTGTTTAATACAGCGAAGTGTGTAAAGATGTTAATATCAGTGACAATACACCTACCTCATGAAATTGCAGTAAATCCGAATACATTTATGGCCCAAGTTCCCATGTTATAACAGGAGACCTTAACATCGTTCGTGACCGAGAGTTGAAATCATTCCTCGGTAAAGGACCTAAATATTGTCCCCCGTCAATTATTAATTGGAATGAGTGTCGTAACATCATCCACGACTCACTCCGTACTTACTGCTCTAAAAGGATAATTCGAGAAAAAGCTGACAAGAAATCATTAGATTCTTTTTTTTAATTCGGTAATGAAAATAGTTGATATACGTATTCAACATTTTAAAGATCATTTTACTCCAAACAACAACTATAATAGCCCAATATCCCGTGTCAAACATAAGCTAAAAGAACTCGCCAAGGAATATATTTTTGTCCCGGCTGATAAGGCTGCTAACAATATCATTATTGTTTGACGTAAATTTTACATTGATGTTCTACAAAAGGAAATCACGAATTCACCAACATTCCAACTGACTCCATTTTCGGAAAATGACATCTGTAACAAACATAAACTTTTAGCTACCTCTTTACCAGCAGAACCAAATACAATGAAAGTTCCAACTATGTACTGGCTTCCTAAGCTGCACAAAACTCCTTACAAATATAGATTTATTTCGTCTTCAAGCCATTGTTCCACTACTAAACTATCTATTCTACTGACTAGTACACTTGGTACAATCAAAAACCTGGTAATAAATTGTTCAAATAAGGCCTTTGAAAATAGTGGAATTAATTACTTTTGGAGTGTCAAAAATTCGTTGGAAGTACTTGATAAATTGCATGCTTATGTTGGTGATTTCGAATCTGTTCAAAGTTTTGATTTTTCTACCCTATATAACACGTTGCCTCATGATCTTATTAAGAAAAAATTCACACACCTTATTAAATGTGCATTTAAAAAGTCGGAATGCGAATATATATGTTCAAACTCTTTTAGGTCATTTTTAAGTAACAACAAACAACAGAACTATGTCAATTGGACCTGCTTTGATACTATAACTGCCCTTTTTACTAGATAACATATTTTTGTTCGCTATGGAGATTCAGTATATCGTCAGGTTATCGGAATTCCCATGGTGATCAACTGTCACGCACCACTTATTGTGGACCTGTTTCTGTATTGTTATGAGTTACAATTTATGACTAAAATCAGCCAAGATCCATCGAAACAACATTTGATTCAAAAATTTAATAACACTTTTAGATATTTAGATGATATATTGGCTCTCAATAATGACGACTTCAGTATGTACACTAAAGAGATTTATCCTGCCGAACTGACTTTAAATAAAGCTAATACTAACAATGAACACTGCCCTTTCCTGGATATTGATATCTTTATCTTTAACGGGAAGCTTAATACCAAAATTTATGATAAAAGAGATGATTTTTCATTTCCTATTGTTAATTATCCATTTTTAGATGGTGACGTTCCCTTGTCGCCATCTTATGGTGTTTATATATCTCAACTTGTTCGATTCGCTAGTGTATGTAACAACGTATTTGATTTCAACGAAAGAAATCTCTGTATTACTGAAAAATAATAACACCATGGTTTTCGATATCACAAACTAGTCAAAACATTTACTAAATTTTATCATCGGTACAAGAACATCATTCGTAAATATAAATCAACATGCAGACATCTTATACGTTCAGGTATTTCACATCCAATATTTTATGGTAATATTCTTTACAAAACACAAAAATGTCGGCATTCACCTCAAAAGCTAACCAAACCTTTAAACAGACTTATTCGGAAAGGATATAGTTACGATACTGTTTTCAAGTCATTAAGGATTGCATATTTTGGTATTAATATTGATTCACTCATAGGGTCTTTGCATCGGAAATAAACACATTTATTCTAAAACCAGTTGTTGGCATGATACGGGTTATGTTCTTCTCATATATTTTATGATGGTATGATACTAAACCCCTAACGGGAGGGATTGTACTTGATTTTCATATGATGAAGACATAATCTTTCAATCAGTTTAATTTGAAGTCTGGAGCTGGCATGTCAGTAACTGCTAGTAGTCCTTTGTTCATTTATGTATCATTGTCATTTTGCTTAGTTTCTTTTGTTACCTATTCTGACATCGGACTCGGACTTCTTTTAAACTGAGTTTTACTGTGCGTATTGCTATGTGTTTCTTTATTCTACATTAGCTAGAGGTATAGGGGGAGGGTTGAGATCTAAACATGTTGAACCCCGCCGCATTTTTGCGCCTGTCCCTAGTCAGGAGCCTCTGGCCTTTGTTAGTCTTGTAGTTCTCCTTCTGGATGGTTATTGAGATATTTTTCCCGATCTTTCAAAAAGATGATTTGAAGTTTTCTGTTGTCTATTGGTTTACCGCTGTCAGAGGATGTTAGACGATTATTGATCAGTGAAAAAATTTCAATTGTATAAAACTTCCGTTGTCTCCAATTTAAAAATAAGACAAGAATAGCTCCATTGTTTTCTTGAATATCTGATGTAAGTAAAATTTTAAGTTTGGATGATAAACAATTATTTAATGGATTATAAGCATCACCATTTTTTTTGTGCAGACTAATCACATTGTGAGTGTAGGTTTTTGCAAGATTGTAGAAAAGCAATAATATATTTCATTTCATAACAAAGTTCACTGACTCAGTAAATTTTAAAAAAATATTACATATACCTAATACTAGGTTTGACAGGGGGTGACAGGGGATAGAATAATGAACCATCTGTGTAGTCCTGGAAAGGATGATCTGGACTTGATTATCAAATTGAATTGAATGAGTTTATACTATTATTTAAATTGCATGCATTGTTTAAAAATTCATTTAAAAACTTTTAAAAATGAAATTAAAAATTATGGTATTGATATTTGTTTTATAAATCAACGTAACATTATAGATATTATTTTATAACTCAGAAATGTTATTTTATTTACCCCGAAAATACAATTCTGACTCCATTCACGTGACATGTCAACACCAATGCGTTATTAAGTAAGGTTATATCATGAATATCATATAACGTAAATTAGTTTTTCTATCCGCCCTTTGAAATATTTCAATTTCATTATAAACTTTTTTAATCAAAATAATCTTATTCTTCCACACTTTGTGTCGTATGTTTATAAGAAACAACTTAATAAGATATATCTCTAATAGCAGGTATATCATAAAATAAAAGAATACTAAAGAATAAGACAAAGTATTATTATCGAGTAAAGTAAAAATCAGCTGAACGTTTTAATCACGTTCTATTGTTAAGGAGATATTAAGCTTCTCAATTATCAAAATTAGCTTTTGTCAAACTGCTATATATCCAATGAAATTTTTACGATAAAGTGTGTGGTTCAAGTTTTTTGAAACATTTATATTTTTGTCAAAGGGTCAAAGTAAATATTTTGTCAAAATTTTATGAAAATTAAACGAGCCAAATTAATTTTAGTCAAGGGGTTTGGTACCACCTCAATTTGTTTAAAATCCAAATATTGGATAGCAACCAGGACAATTTAAAAAAAAACTTATAAATATACACACAATTCAAGGCTAAACAAATCATTCAAACAAAATATCTACCAAATATCTTCTTAATAATGACTCGTTACCAAAACGTATACAAAAGACAATTTTACAAATAAAATGATAACAAAATCATGTGAGACAAGGTTGTCAAAAACATAACAAAGGAGGGGGTTTTAATGTCTACCTTTCAATATTTTCAATATAATCTTGCTGTTGGAGCTTAAAGGTAAATAATACTCAGATAAAATTGGAATGTCCGAAGAGTAATGTCTTGAACTGAAGTGGCTAACTGTGTTTTCTAAGTAATAAATGATATTTAAAAGATGTTCATAATTTCAGGAAAAGATAGCCTCCATTTTGGAAGACATGTGTGATATACCTAAACGAGATAAGCAATATCTACAAAACGAGGCTATATTTTTTTTTATCAAATACGTATTTGTAATCGGTGAGATACATGTCTGTTTGAGTACAAAATTGCATTATTCTTAAATTTATATGAAAAGGATTTTGCTTTATTACATTTTTTTTAATCTTCAATATTTCTTTATTTTTTCCATTTATGTAAACATTTTGAAATAAGGAGATATGGTATGATTGTTCACCAAAGACCAAATGACGAGGATGTTAAGGTTTAGAATAAAGGTCCCCAATGTTGTCTATGTTCTGTATTAATACAGATTCAATTAATATAATCTCTGAAATTAATGGAAGAAGAATGAACATCAATCTTAAATCATAATCATTGCTATGGTTAGGTTTACTCCTAATAATATGACAATTAATGGGAAGAAAAATGAACAACAATCTTAAATCATAATCATTGCTAGAGTTAGGTTTACTCCTAATAATATGACAATTAATGGGAAGAAAAATGAACAACAATCTTAAATCACAATCATTGCTATGGTTAGGTTTACTCCTAATAATATGACGCTTTGGAAGACTTCCGGTTGAATGGGGGATTTATAAAAATGAAAAATCGAAAAATACTTTCTGCACGCGTCAAGATTGCCTTGGCAAGGGTTAGGGTTATAAATCCTGAAAATGAATAGAGATTTTGACAAAAACTACTTCTGAAAAAATAGCTCCAACGCAATTTTTTGGCGGTCTTTCTGTACAAATTCAACCTTAACAGACTTACCTTTTATTATTTGTCAATTTACAGCTAAAGAAAACCAAACATTTTAACATTAAGTAATCCTTATTCACCTGCACACTTTCCGCTCCAACAGTTTTTACTGCTGACAGTACTAATCGAATAAACGTTTATTTCGGATTTATTTTACATTTACATGACGTTGGTGACACCCTTTTTCCTGATCATTTTTTAAATCTATTCATAATATTTTGTTATTGGAAATATATACGATTTTCGGCTTGGTAACAAACAAGAAAACTACATCAATTTCCACAGCTCCGGTAAATACCTCCTAATGTCCAATCCATGGCTGGGTCAAACCAACCGGTTCAAGTTATATTTACATGACATAATTCTATCAGCAAACAGACTTGTCATTAAATACGTACTGTCTGTACAAGCATACTGGAAAATAGCTTTAAAGAATTCCATTGCAACTTAAAATGCTTACAGGTCGTAAATAATTATATTACACCTGTATTTGAATATAGATAATGCATTTCTTTGCATGATAAGCATTATGAAATATGCACTAACAGGCTTACTCCTCAGTCGAATATTAACTGCATTAACAGTATCAAACACACCAAGTTAGATATAACAAAACATTAGTAGACAACTCCAAACAAATATTCAAAAACTACAAAATACCTACATCATCTATGGGAAATGATTTATTTTTTTAGTATTTTATTTATAAGGATTGTAAAGATTTTGATATCAATTATCCTAAGATATAAATCAAAACAGATTACAATAAACTCAGTGTTCAACTGTGTGAATAAAAGGAGATGTGGTACGTCAATGAGACAGAGACCCAAAGACACAAACTACAAAATCATCGTTATTACTGACTTTCCGTAACGATCAAATATGTGATGATACTAGTATCGTTATTACTGACTTTCCGTAACGATCAAATATGTGATGATACTAGTATCGTTATTACAGACTTTCCGTAACGATCAAATATGTGATGATACTAGTTTTTCGTAAAACCTTGGAAGTGTAGACTTTAAATTTACCATAGTTTTACTGAACATTGCAGGTGCTGCAGTGTTGTTACGCAATTATCATGAAATGGTAAATATTAAGATTCTGTGATTATTTCATAAAATACATGGTATCTAAGAAAGCCACAAAACGTTACCTGCCACGCATACTAAATTAGTATTTATCCACTTTTATTTGGAGGGAAATGAGACGAAAAAACTAGTATGTACATTTGTCAATGCTATATCTTCAATATAGTAAATAAACTGATGATCATAACAAACAAACAAAATTTAATCTGCCCTCAGCTCTTAAACGACGTCCATATAGATATATTCAGTTTATATACACCTAGTTATTCTAAATTTGAAAAAAAACTTCCTTACCTGACTTTTTTATGAAAAAAAACTTGTATCCCTTAATACGTTATCTATACTAGTATATGTTATTTTTGAGTATTAATCCAATAAGTTTTCCTTCGTTTGACATGCCCTATTCTGTTGCACATCGTTAAATCCTTTTTTTTTTATCGTGTTCACGCTTACCTGTCCCCACATAAATGTATTTCTCAATAAGTCTATATAAACTGCCCGGCTCAACGTCAAACCAATAAAATCTTGAAATTCATACATCGTTCAATAGGCGTTACATTATCAATGATCTTTATTCTTCAGGCTAAATCAGATCTTAATGTTATTCATTATTAATTGTAAGATTAACCCTACGTATAACTACACGTTCTGTAATACTACCGCAATATTAGTGATGTACATTTAATATGTTCCTTTTTTATTGTTCTTAAACTATCGCCAATATTTGCTACTTCTAATTTGTTATTCCTTCGTTAGAGAGCAAAGGGACAACATATTAAAAAAATATAACGTAACCAAAAGATAAATATTGATAAATCAATGGAAAAAGTAAATACTGACTGCAATATCCAACACAAATATTAACTACAATATCCAACACAAAAAGTAATATAACCTCCTGTATCCAACACAAAAAGTAAATATAACCTCCTGTATCCAACACAAAAAGTAAATACAACCTCCTATATCCAACACAAAAAGTAAATATAACCTCCTGCATCTAACACAAAAAGTAAATATTACCTCCTGTATCCAACACAAAAGTAAATATTACCTCCTGTATCCAACACAAAAAGTAAATATTACCTCCTGTATCCAACACAAAAAGTAAATATAACCTCCTGTATCCAAAACAAAAAGTAACAAGAAATGATTGTAACAGGATGCTGTTACGAAGTCTCCCAAACGAAGCTCCCATAATTCGTAATTCCCAGGGTCGCCTGACAATGGGCAACGTCCAGTGAAAATTGGTTTGGTCCAGTAAAGTTATATGCATTAGTGATGCCTGGGGACTAACCTTGTATATCATTCAAATCATCTTGGCATGACAAACCAGAATATATATGGTTTAGGGGTGGGGATCTCGACCATTTACAAGATACTAGAATATTGGGGGTGGGGAGGAACCCCTGGGGACTGGCCCTATACGTCATTCAAGTGTTCATTGCATGACGAACAGGAATATATATGGTTTAGGGGTGGGGATCTAAACCATTTACAAGATATTAGAACTTTCTCAAATGGCAGGGGGTCGGGATGACCCCTGGGGACTAACCCTGTATATCATTCAAACCATCTTCGCATGACAAACCAGAGTATATATGGTTTAGGGGTGGGGATCTTGACCACTTAGAAGATATTAGAACTTTCTTAAATAGCAGGGGGTGGGGTGACCCCTGGAGACTAACCCTGTATTTCATTTGATGTGCTTTATCATGACAAACCAGAATATATATGGTTTAGGGGTGGGGATCTCGACCATTTACAAGATATTAGAACTTTCTCAAATGGCAAGGGGTGGGGGTGACCGCTGGGGACTAACCCTGTATAACATTTGATGTGCTTTATTATGACAAACCAGAATATATATGGTTTAGGGGTGGGGATCTCAACCATTTACAAGATATTAGAACTTTCTCAAATGGCAGGGGGTCGGGATGACCCCTGGGGACTTACCCTGTATATCATTCAAATCATTTCAGCATGACAAACCAGAATATATATGGTTTAGGGGTGGGGATCTTGACCACTTAGAAGATATTAGAACTTTCTTAAATGGCAGGGGGTGGGGGTGACCCCTGGGGACTTACACTGTATAACATTTGATGTGCTTTATCATGACAAACCAGAATATATATGGTTTAGGGGTGGGGATCTCGACCATTTACAAGATATTAGAACTTTCTAAAATGGCAGGGGGTTGGGATGACACCTGGGGACTAACCCTGTATATCATTCAAACCATCTTAGCATGACAAACCAGAATATATATGGTTTAGGGGTGGGGATCTTAACCACTTTCAAGATATTAGAACTTTCTTAAATGGCAGGGGGTGGGGGTAACCCCTGGGGACTAACCCTGTATAACAGTTGATGTGCTTTATCATGACAAACCAGAATATATATGGTTTAGGGGTGGGGATCTCAACCATTTACAAGATATTAGAACTTTCTCAAATGGCAGGGGGTCGGGATGACCCCTGGGGACTTACCCTGTATATCATTCAAATCATCTCAGCATGACAAACCAGAATATATATGGTTTAGGGGTGGGGATCTTGACCACTTAGAAGATATTAGAACTTTCTTAAATGGCAGGGGGTGGGGATGACCCCTGGGTACTAACCCTGTATATCATTCAAACCATCTTAGCATGACAAACCAGAATATATATGGTTTAGGGGTGGGGATCTTGACCACTTACAAGGTATTAGAACTTTCTTAAATGGCAGGGGGTGGGGGTGACCCCTGGGGACTAACCCTGTATTTCATTTAATGGGCTTTATCATTTAGAACATTTTCAATTAAAAAGTTTGTGTCTATCACGAACGGTTTTCAATTTATAATCATTTGAAAATTTAAAAAATAAAATCCCATAGGGTTCTACTGTAAAACCCTCTTTTCTTTTTGCCCCTCAAAGTACCCCTTTATAAACCCCATTGCAAAAACAAAACCCTGATTGCACCACTAGACATGTTAGTCTAACATATTGTGAAACCCTAAGTTAATCCGACAAGCAGTTTTGGAGAACGGGTGCGGACAAGTTCAAATTTAAAAGCGGCGGAAGAAGAAGAAGAAGAAGAAGAAGAAGAAGAAGAAGAAGAAGAAGAAGAAGAAGAAGAATAATAATAATAAGAACTGAGCAAAAACAATAAGTCTTCCCAAACTTCGTTTGGGAGACTTAAATATTACCTCCTGTATTCAACACAAAAGTAAATATTACCTCCAGTATCCAACACAAAAAGTAAATATAACCTCCTGTATCCAACACAAAAAGTAAATATTACCTCCTGTATCTAACAGTTACACAAAAGTAAATATTACCTCCTGTATCCAACACAAAAAGCAAATATAACTTCATATATCCAACACAAAAGTAAATATTACCTCCTGTATCCAACACAAAAAGCAAATATAACCTCATATATTCAACACAAAAGTAAATATTACCTCCTGTATCCAACACAAAAAGTAAATATTACCTCATGTATCCAACACAAAAAGTAAATATTACCTCCTGTATCAAACACAAAAGTAAATATTACCTCCAGTATCCAACACAAAAAGTAAATATAACCTCCTGTATCCAACACAAAAGTAAATATAACCTCATATATCCAACACAAAAGTAAATATTACCTCCTATATCCAACACAAAAAAGCAAATATAACCTACTGTATCCAACAAAAAAAGTAAATATAACCTCCTGTATCCAACACAAAAAGTAAATATAACCTTCTGTATCCAACACAAAAAGTAATATAACCTCCAGTATCCAACACAAAAAAAAGCAAATATAAACTCCTGTATCCAACACAAAAAGTAAATACAAACTCCTGTATCCAACACAAAAGTAAATATTACCTCCTATATCAAACACAAAAAGTAAATATAACCTCCTGTATCCAACACAAAAAAAAGCAAATATAAACTCCTGTATCCAACACAAAAAGTAAATACAAACTCTTGTATCCAACACAAAAGTAAATATTACCTCCTATATCCAACACAAAAAAGCAAATATAACCTACTGTATCCAACAAAAAAAGTAAATATAACCTCCTGTATCCAACACAAAAAGTAAATATAACCTCCTGTATCCAACACAAAAAGTAATATAACCTCCTGTGTCCAACACAAAAAAAGCAAATATAAACTCCTG